CACAGCTATTATTTACTCTTGATAAACTACCATAGCCAGAGTAGATTCATTTTCATTTAAATAATTGAACTGGATTGAATGCATATTAATTGCAAATAGAATTGTGGCCTATCTTCTACCAGCTTTACAGTAACAGTGGAAGTTAATATGAAGCCGTACAGAAACTGTTCAATGAGAACTAATCACTTTATTTGTACAGGCGATGGTTCTCACTGCTCTTGCCATCTTTGTTTTTATTTGACCAAAACTTTTGAAAATGAGACCTCGGTCTATGCATTTTGTCTAAATAAAGGTTAACATTAATATTAGAGCTGAACTAGTGATTAATAACTGAATAATAAATTAGTTTTTTGCTTAAAGTAAATGTCTTATCACTTAATTTTCTTCTTGGAGTACTCCAGAATGCTACATTTTAAACCTCATATTTAAAATAAAAGGAGCCCCCCCCCCACCCCGACAGGGTTTCGGGCTTGTCACCTCATGAGTTTGCAGGTCTGAAACATTTATCAGCTAAATCAAATAGTTTACAGGATCTCCAACCTTTGTTTCTTTATAACACATTTAATACTGGACTTGTATGTTAACAGGGTTTGTATGAAGGTAATAAAGTAGTTCAATAGAGTTTACAGATAATTCAAATTAGAAAAACAAAGGTTAGTTTATGGCTTTTTCCCGGTTACACATCTTAAAATAAAGTTCATTTTATAACGATGAATTGTCCTGAAGGTGTAAATTCAGGTGTGAAGTGAGAAAGAAGATATTTTATTTAAGATTAACATGTCTCTACGTGACGCGTACTGAACAACCTGCTGAGGTCATGTGACAGTGAGGTCATTTGTGTAACAATGACATCACTTCCAAAATGGCTGCCTGGCTGGTCAGAAGGAGCTCATTTCAAAAAGCTTTGATAACGTCTCCTTCATTTCATCTAAACATGTTCATCAAACTCATTTATAGATATAAAGATAGAAGATATTGTTGTGACAGATGTGTGACATCAGGCTGTTCAACTTATAACTCTCAGATAAACCAAAGTAGTAACCAAATAGTAAAGAGCTGCTCAATTGATTTAAAGGATTTAAATACTTTTGGTTAAAATATGTTCTTTTGTTTAATTCAAAAGACATTTAAACAAAAAGATGAAGGCAAACTGTAGATATGAGTAAATAAAACACACTAGATTCAGATCCTGTTTTGGTCCTTTCAAAGTGATTCATTATTTTATTTGCAGGATTAAATGATGAAGATCGTAGAGGAGAACACGCGTGTGTAAAACAAACATGAAACGTGTTAAAAGATTGTTTTTAAAATGAGGAAAACAAGTAAACGTCCAACGTGACACATCAGTAACCTTCAGCTCTTTGACACTAGGGGGCAGTGTTTACCCCCTCTATTCTCCCTCTCAGGATAGATGTGTGTGTGTGTGTGGTGTGTATTAACGCATTGAACGCTGGCTCCTCTATTCTCCCTCTCAGGATAGATGTGTGTGTGTGTGTGTGTTGTGTATTAAAGCGTTGAGCGCTGCCTCCTCTGTTCTCCCTCTCAGGATAGATGTGTGTGTGTGTGTGTGTGTGTGTTGTGTATTAACGCGTTGAACGCTGGCTCCTCTGTTCTTCCTCTCAGGATAGATGTGTGTGTGTGTGTGTTGTGTATTAAAGCGTTGAGCGCTGGCACCTCTGTTCTTCCTCTCAGGATAGATGTGTGTGTGTGTGTGTGTGTGTGTGTGTGTGTGTGTGTGTGTTGTGTATTAAAGCGTTGAGCGCTGGCTCCTCTGTTCTCCCTCTCAGGATAGATGTGTGTGTGTGTGTGTGTGTGTGTGTGTGTGTGTGTGTGTGTTGTGTATTAAAGCGTTGAGCGCTGCCTCCTCTGTCTCCCCGTCAGACCTGCAGATGGTGAACATCTCTCTGAGGGTTCTGTCTCGGCCGCTGGCGTCCAACCTGCCCATCCTCTACCAGCAGCTGGGCAAAGACTACGACGAGCGCGTCCTGCCGTCCATCGTCAACGAGGTGCTGAAGAGCGTGGTGGCCAAGTTCAACGCCTCTCAGCTCATCACGCAGAGAGCGCAGGTACACTTCTACCTCGTCTGTTTCTATTTTATATACATTTACTATATTACGCACTGCTTTACAACCCTGAGACCAACAGTCATGTGACATCAAATCAGAGGCACTTTGACTGAACTACAGGAAGTGAACGAGGAGAGGAGAATCTACTTCTAGTCATGATGGTTCTGTTTCCATAGAGGAGCAGGACGTTTATATATCTATCTGTCTATCGTAAATGTGAAGTGAGTTTTGTTGGACAGTTTTTTGGAGAAAATCCAAAGAATAAAAACCAGCTCAAATGACATCGTAGTACGTTGACGCATGACATCGTCTTAAAGAAGAGAAACGTCTTATTGGTTGATGTTACATTTCTTCTTTGGTGGAAGAGCTTCAGATTTGATGAGATCAGAATAGTTGATCATGTGACTTCCTGTTTGTACTCCAGGTGTCCCTGTTGATCATGTGACTTCCTGTTTGTCCTCCAGGTGTCCCTGCTGATCATGTGACTTCCTGTTTGTCCTCCAGGTGTCCCTGCTGATCATGTGACTTCCTGTTTGTCCTCCAGGTGTCCCTGCTGATCCGCAGAGAGCTGTTTGAGCGAGCGAAGGACTTCAACATCATCCTGGACGACGTGGCGATCACCGAGCTGAGCTTCAGCAGAGAGTACACGGCCGCCGTGGAGGCCAAGCAAGTCGGTGAGTAGAGGCAGGAAGTTCACCGACAGCTGACCGTCCTGATGACGATCAGCTGACCGCCATCAGGACGGACTATTATTATTTAAGTTTCAGGTTATCCTCGCCGTGGAAGACTTAATTAGTTTTAGACGCTTTAGAAACAGGAAGTCTTAGAAATCTACATTAGAGTAAATATCTATCAGATAAATCAAATAGTTTATGTTCAACCTTTGTTTCTTTATAACACATTTAATACTGGACTTGTTTCTCTACAGGGTTTGTATGACGGTAATAAAGTGGTTTATTAGGTTTCTATTGATACTCTTGTTGATTATTTTGTGAGGAAATACAGACGTTTAATGAAGAGAATAATCATTTCTTTATTATTCTCGTCTTGAGCAGCAACACAGGAAGGTCTAAAATCTTTAAAATAACAGTGTGTGTGTGTGTGTGTGTGTGTGTGTGTGTTCCCCTCCAGCCCAGCAGGAGGCGCAGCGAGCTCAGTTTTATGTAGAGAAGGCCAAACAGGACCAACGGCACAAGATCATCCAGGCTGAAGGAGAAGCTGAGGCTGCAAAGATGGTGAGCTCACGAGTACTCGTGTGTACTAGTAGGAGTACTACTCTGTTAGAATACTCTGTTAGAAGTACAGAAACATTTCACTTGTCTTCAGAGTTTTGTGTGTAAGTACATTTATCCTAGTACTTCAGTACTATTTTAAGGTACATTTGACTTTAAACTTCTCGTCTACGACGTCTCAGAGGAAGATGTTCTACTTTTATCTGATATGAATTCTAGATTCTCAACACGTAATATAATTTAACTAATACACAAAGATGTTTTATTAAGTAGTTTATATAATTAAAGTTTAAATGATCTTCACCAGCTGCAGCATCACAGTGATGAACACATTAGTCAATAACTATAATATAATGATGAGTATAATATTTTAAATGGTTCATTCTGCAGAATGACTACTTTAAGTTGTGGTACTTAAAGTATATTTTGAATATTTTTACTGAAGTAAACCCTCTGAGTAACGGAGTATCTGATAAATATCATAATCATAAACAATTAACTCTGTTTCTATCAAACACGTCTGCTGGTTATCTGCAGCTGTTTCACACGTTCATCTGATTTAATCTCAAGAAACAGATTCAAGAGAAGCAGAAATAACCATCATGACGCAGATTAAAGAGTCTGAACTCGTGTCTGTTAGTTCGACAAATAACTTTTAAAATACTCAATAGAGCAGAGAAATACAACATAATAAGCCTGAGATATTAGAATGCGTCTCCAGCTGAAATACAAACCTGTTGTTGTTGTTGTTGTTGTTGTTGTTGTTGTTGTTGTTGCTGTTGCTGAGGCCTCGAGGTGTTTGCAGCAGCAGAAGGCTGCAGCTCTACAGACCCAGAGCCGTGGTTCTAGTTAAAGGAACTATTTGTTCTATTGAGTGCAGGAACACTTCACTCATTACCTCTACCTGTCAGCGTGAGAACATTAAAGCTTAGAGCAGCGACGCGCCTGCAAGCCTTTGATCCTCCTCTTCATCGTCTTCATCTTCATGTTTGAGTTTGTTTCTTCAGTCAGACTGGCTCATCCACTCACGCTCCCTGTTGTTGGGTGTGTAACACTTATTATTCTCTGTGAACACACTAACCATTGAGGTGTGTGTGTGTGCAGCTGGGTCAGGCCGTGACGAAGAACCCGGGTTACCTGAAGCTCCGGAAGATCCGGGCGGCGCAGAACATCGCCAAGACGGTAAGAAGAGTCTCTGCAGCTGAGGAAGCACGAGTCTAAGCTGGTCGTGTTTACATCGTGTGTCCTCATCAAATGCATCAGTTCATAACTATAACTGAGATTCTAGAAGAACGCTGACGCTTCTTCCTGAGCTGCTGCAGCTCAACGAGTGAACACGTGTAATAAACCAGACTAACTGTGTGTCAGACCTCTGGAGTCTAATAATGCAGATTATTACAGATTAATGTGCAGTGAGAACAGGAACCATCACCGCATAACCAGTACATGAGTCTTTAAAACGTCTCCGTCAGGCCGCCGCGTCTCCTCTCGTGTTATTGACTAGAGACTTAAGAGCAACGTTTGCTTTTACTTTAGAGTTCGTGACTCGATCTTCCTAAAATAAGCGTCTAAGTTTAAGCAGGCCGGCGTCTCTCGGCCCCCCTGAAGACCCCCAGTGGTCCCCAAACGGGTCCAGAGCCTTGGTTTTGGGGACCAGCTGCAGCTCATTGAGTCCACCAGGTGGCGCCACATGAACATGAAGTCTAAAGAAGAAGTCAGAGGAAACTTAAAGCTTCATCTTCTTCTGACATTTGACCTCTTTGTCTTTTTATCAACCAGTCCTGTTGTTAGTTTTAGGCCTTAAAGATGCTTTTAGTTCCATTAAAGTTATAATAAATGTAGTTTATCAGACAAAAGCTCATCGAACTGTTTATTTAGAAATAAGACTTTTTAACTTTAAGTCTTTATCAGGTTTGAGCCGTCGCGTCATCTGGTGGTCCCCCGCGTGTCGTGTCCCCCGCGTGTCCCGGTGTCCCGGTCTCAGCAGCACTCCGCTGGCTGTGAATCAGCTCAGTGTGCAGCTCTCTCACAGCTCTCTTTGTGCTCAGCAGCAGCTCTCTGAGGCCTTCCGGCCGAGCAGCTTCACCTGCGTTTCCTCTCCTCGCACTCGACTCTGTGTGTGTTGTTTCACCTGCAGGTGGCGCAGTCCCAGAACAAGATCTACCTGAGCGCTGACAGCCTGGTGCTCAACCTGCAGGACAAGGACAACTTCAAGTGAGTCCTGTTGATGTGTCTGCTGTTAGAGTTCAACCCTCTCTCTCTTCCTCTGCAGTATAACCGTCCTGTGTCTCTGGCTGCTAGCATGTGTTTGTTACCTTTAGACTCCAACCAGGCTAGTAGTTTCCCTGTGTTTCCAGTCTTTATGCTAAGCTAACCAGCTGGCTGTAGCTTCATATTGACTTTACAGACATACGAGTGGTTTCAAAGTGTTTCTTTAAACCTCTAATCAAACAGTTTAGGGTGGTTTCTGCTCTGTTTTTCTCTACAAAATAAGTCCTGCTCCTCTATGAGCCAGAACCATCATGACTAGAACATGACTTTAGTGCAGAACAACAGTTATTATGACAACAGTCATTAAAAACAGAAAAGAAGCAAGTAATCTCGCTCTCGCTCACTCTCTCACGCATAGTAATACAATTATACATACATTATAATATACATTAATAATAATAATACAATGTTTCTGATGATTTTCTGTGTTTCTTTCAGTCTGTTGCTGGGGAAGTAGAGAGGACGTCTCATCATTCCTTCTCCAGAGACTCGTCTTCTCTTCTTCACACCAGGTTTCTGTGAATCTTCTGCGTTTACGAACCACAACAAACAGACTCTGACCTGCGGAGTTTCACCACCGAGGATTTTATTCTGAAAGGTTCCTCTGGTGTCGGTAAAGGTCTCGATGCGTCTTTTCTTTCTGTTATAATAATCTGTAGAAACACAGAAACATGTCTTCTTTGTGAATAAAAGCAGTTTCCCTCGTTGAGACGTTTCTTCTTCTGCAGACGCGTTGAGTTTACAGAGATTATTTATGTACATCGAGGTTCATCAGTTAAACTACTTTACTTCCTGCTCTGACTTCAGGACGTTTAGACTTCAGAGGACTTTAAATGAAGAATAAATCAGTTTCATGAGTAGAATGTGAGAAATTAGACTTTTACCGTCACCAGAGGAGTCGCTTTAAAGCGTCTCGTCTCCAAAGTCACAAAAAATAATCACTGAAGAAATGTGAGGCTTCAGAGAATAAAGTCCTCTTAAGAGTAAAAACTAGTGCTGGGCAACGATTACAATGTTTAATCTCATTGTTATACACAAAGTTAAATAATGAATTCAAAAGTAGTGTATTGTGCACTTTTATTTGAAAGTGCTGCTATATGAACTAAAGGTCAATAACATTTGGTTTAAACACTTTAATCACATCAGGTTGTTATTAGCAGCAGTATTCCCTTTACACAGCAGCAGTTATAACACAGTTATAATGATTCTGATCATAGATATTCAGACGGTGTTCATAACTTTATCTTCATGTGTGTAATAGATGCAATTTAAATATATTTCTTGAAAACTGCAAACCTGTCTACGTCATGTTTTTATGTTTGTTAAATTATCAGTGGTGATACTAAATGATGCTTATTATACATATTACAAACAAAACACTTTAAAAACTCTAAAAAACAACTTAAATGAATCATTTCTTTGTTGGTATGTTGGTCAGACACATGTGCAACGCTGATTACCGTAATATGTGTGGTATTTGTTATAAATGTACGTTGGTACATAGAGGGTGATAAGAAGCTGTACATGGAGGGACTTAGGACCCAGGGGAGTGTAGGTGATGGAAACGGGAAGAGACGCCACACAAACAAGCTGTTCACCGCTCGGTGCCGGTTCTTGTGTTAAAAATGTCGCTTAATAATAAACCGTTAACGTGCGATAAAATGATTGTCGGCCTCAATTAATGAATGCGTTAACGTGATAACTTGCCCAGCACTAATATAAATATTAAATTACTATATAGTAATTAAATTACCAGAATTATTCTCACTGGTTTGTTAACGTTTTAATCCTTAAAATAATCACTGGTTTTCATTTCCACAGATTGATTGAGTTTGTTTTAGTAAATAAAAAGAGAATCCTGTCCCAACGTCCCGTAATTATCTTCTTCTGTCCAAAAAAACTAATATTTAGTTTATTGTCAGAAATCTAAGAACACAAAATATCACAACTCAGAAGCTGGAACTTTGTTTTCTTTGTGATTTTTGCTTAAAGAGTTTTGTTTGTGGAGCTTAAAACAGTAAAAACAATAATTAAAGCCAGTCTTCTGTCCAACAACACGGTGACGTGAAGAACCTGGTTCTGCTCAAGTCTCTTCTGATTCAAGTGTTTCTGTGATTTGAGTGAACCTGAGACTCAAAGTCCATAAACTGAACCTGGATCCATTATACATGACGTTATTAATGAATTATTAACTCATTATTTGCTAAAGCAACACTTAACTGCTGGCAATGGAGTTAGTGTTATAAACATGTATTACATGTTTGTACGCTGGTTTAAAGGCTAAATAAAGACTTGAATGGAGACTGCACACGTTATAAATATTAAACTATTCACATGTTTCAGCCTCATCTGTTACAGTAAAGTACGACTACTGTTATAGTAAAAGTACTACTACTCTACAGTAGAAATACTCTGTTACAGTAAAAGTACTAATACCACTCTGTGAAAATACACTCTACAGTTAAAGTACTAATACCACTCTGTGAAAATACTGTTACAGTAGTAGTACTCTGTTACAGTAGTAGTACTACTACTCTACAGTAGTAGTACTCTGTTACAGTAAAAGTACTACTACTCTACAGTAGAAATACTCTGTTACAGTGAAATATTCCTTCAGTAAAAGTGTCAGTATAATCAGTAAACTGTAGTTAAAGTATTCAGACTGACTGTTGTACTATTATATATTCTATCATTAGAGTATTGTTACTCATGCATTCATGTAAAAGCAGGATTTTACTGCTGTAGTTGGTTGAGCTGGAGCTCATTTTTAAATATATATATATATATATATACATATACATACACAGTGGGTATGGAAAGTATTCAGACCCCTTAAAATTTTTCACTTTGTTTCATTGCAGCCATTTTCTAAAATCAAAAAAGTTCATTTTATTTCTCATTAATGTACACTCGGCACCCCATCTTGACAGAAAAAAACAGAAATGTAGAAATTTTTGCAAATTTATTAAAAAAGAAAAACTGAAATATCACATGGTCATAAGTATTCAGACCCTTTGCTCAGTATTGAGTAGAAGCACCCTTTTGAGCTAGTACAGCCATGAGTCTTCTTGGGAATGATGCAACAAGTTTTTCACACCTGGATTTGGGGATCCTCTGCCATTCTTCCTTGCAGATCCTCTCCAGTTCCGTCAGGTTGGATGGTGAACGTTGGTGGACAGCCATTTTCAGGTCTCTCCAGAGATGCTCAATTGGGTTTAGGTCAGGGCTCTGGCTGGGCCAGTCAAGAATGGTCACAGAGTTGTTCCGAAGCCACTCCTTTTTATTTTAGCTGTGTGCTTAGGGTCATTGTCTTGTTGGAAGGTGAACCTTCGGCCCAGTCTGAGGTCCAGAGCACTCTGGAAGAGGTTTTCTTCCAGGATATCTCTGTACTTGGCCGCATTCATCTTTCCTTCAATTGCAACCAGTCGTCCTGTCCCTGCAGCTGAAAAACACCCCCATAGCATGATGCTGCCACCACCATGTTTCACTGTTGGGATTGTATTGGGCAGGTGATGAGCAGTGCCTGGTTTTCTCCACACATACCGCTTAGAATTAACGCCAAAAAGTTCAATCTTGGTCTCATCAGACCAGAGAATCTTATTTCTCATAGTCTGGGAGTCCTTCATGTGTTTTTTGGCAAACTCTATGCGGGCTTTCATATGTCTTGCACTGAGGAGAGGCTTCCGTCGGGCCACTCTGCCATAAAGCCCCGACTGGTGGAGGGCTGTAGTGATAGTTGACTTTGTGGAACTTTCTCCCATCTCCCTACTGCATCTCTGGAGCTCAGCCACAGTGATCTTTGGGTTCTTCTTTACCTCTCTCACCAAGGCTCTTCTTCCACGATTGCTCAGTTTGGCTGGACGGCCAGGTCTAGGAAGAGTTCTGGTCGTCCCAAACTTCTTCCATTTAAGGATTATGGAGGCCACTGTGCTCTTAGGAACCTTGAGTGCTGCAGAAATTCTTTTGTAACCTTGGCCAGATCTGTGCCTTGCCACAATTCTGTCTCTGAGCTCCTTGGGCAGTTCCTTCGACCTCATGATTCTCATTTGCTGTGACATGCACTGTGAGCTGTAAGGTCTTATATAGACAGGTGTGTGCCTTTCCTAATCAAGTCCAATCAGTTTAATTAAACACAGCTGGACTCCAATGAAGGAGTAGAACCATCTCAAGGAGGATCAGAAGAAATGGACAGCATGTGAGTTAAATATGAGTGTCACAGCAAAGGGTCTGAATACTTATGACCATGTGATATTTCAGTTTCTCTTTTTTAATAAATTTGCAAAAATTTCTACATTTCTGTTTTTTTCTGTCAAGATGGGGTGCTGAGTGTACATTAATGAGAAATAAAATGAACGTTTTTGATTTTAGCAAATGGCTGCAATGAAACAAAGAGTGAAAAATTGAAAGGGGTCTGAATACTTTCCATACTCACTGTATATATTTAAATAGTTTTAAAATGAAGTATTTCAAACACAAACGGTATAAAACATTCACTCTGGGTCAGTAGGACCCTGGTAGTTGGTCCTCTGCCTGTCAGACGCTGCTCTGGGTCAACAGTACAGCTAGGCCACCAGGAGCCTGCACCTGTTCATGACTCACTAAGACCTTCATGTGACCCTACAGGCTCCTCCTCCTCCTCTTCCTCCTTCACAGGGTTACAACAAAAAACAACAACAACAATAAGCTAAGATGGCTGCCGAGTTATTTATAGCCTGAGCTGTGAGCAGAGAGGCTGCACTGCAAACCTAAAATCTGCAGAGGAGGGGGAGGGAGGAGGAAGGAGGAAGGGGAGGAGTCCATTGTGTCAGCCGCACAAAGCTCCTCCATGTTGCTGTTCTTCTCCATAAGAAAGAGGAGGAGGAGGAGGAGGTACAGGCGGGTGAATATTCATAGAGGTTTAAAGAAAAAAAAAAAAGAGGGGCTGGGAGACAGGAAGGCTCCTGATTGGCTGCTGCTCCACGCCGCCTCCCACACACACACACACACACACACACACACACAACACGCAGACATCAGAAGCCCCTCAGCCAGCCAATCAGGAGCATCTGCACCGTTTGAAAGATGCCAAGAGAAAGGGGGAGGAGCCACGATGATGAATGTGTTGCTGGTGTCATTCTGCAGCTTCTGCAGGTTTTTAGGTTTTTTTAAACATATATTATATATTTATATGTAAATGTACCACACCAGGAGGAGGAGGAGGAACTAACGTTCTGATTTTAAAGATTATTTATTTATTATTTAGTTCAAAGACAGTAGAAATATGACTCTTCACCTGGTGGCGGCTGCACGTAACTACCCCCC